CCCCCCTATGAACAAGCTCTTCTGTGCAATTTTTATGAGGGCTAAGGGGGAAATTTACAATTTTCTGAGGGTTGTTTTGTATTGGCACTTTGATCTTTTTTTCTTTGAGGTTAATTAAAATTTTTACTTACCTCATCCATAGGGGTGTGTGGATATTAAATGGAACGGCCCCTAATATATTTTAAAATGAATAAATCCTTGGTTGTGGACATTCGTTCCACATTGAATGTAGCATGCCAGAGATAACCACTTGCCCAGTTTGTTGATCAAAGTTATTGGCAAAGATAGAAAATTTTGGGAAGACTGCAAACAATGCCATTTCCTCCTCAATCAAGGTTGATGTTGCAGATGATGACAATCACAGAAACGATGACGAAGAAAGCGATGACGAAGCGGTGAGGACGAACAAGCCGATGAAGAATGCCAAAACGAAATGTCAACAAACAATTTATTAACAAGAATAAGCATCTGGAAATGAGCTGAAATGACACAGATCACATGATGTACACACCATTCGAACCGGATCAGCAAAAACACCGGAAATTCTGTTAGGTATTAAAGGCTAGATAGTTTTTACTCTGAGTTTTTACATAAACAATTGTTTGTGAATTTGGAATTTACATGCAAGTAACTCCAAATTTGCGCACGTCAAAACCTTGTTTTTCGAACAGCAATGAATCTTGTTCTAGGAATTTAAAAAATCTCTGGTAAAGTTTGGGAAAAAAGCAAACTTTCGGAATTTTTCATTTTTGGAGTGAAAATCCTGATAACGAATGACATGCCAGGCTTAGAACTTGGTGATATTTTCTCTCCTTTTTTGTTTACGTTATGTAAGTTTTACAAAATTTTACACATTCTGATTGGCTACGAACGCAAAATGTAAACAAACGCTCTGATTGGCTCATGTTTTTTACCCTTGTTGCACACTAGTGAACGGGGGGCTTTGTATTTCCTGAACAAGGAGACTAATATGCATTATGTTATTGCAGAATTTTTTAGCCTTGTGACATGTGCAACAGACTTGAAAAATAGAACAGGACAGGTGGCAGCCTAGTTGGATGAGCTAAGGGATGGACTCAAGGTCCTCGGTGTCCTCAATGAAATTATGAAATTACCAGATGTTTTACCTCCAATGTTTGTGGCCAAAGAAGAATTAATAGACTGTTTGTCCAAGGAATGTTCCTTTTCCCCCTGGGTGCTGATGGTCATGTTGTGAGACACATGCTTCTTCATTTCATTGATGAAAGTAGTATTACAGGCGAGTACCATATTTTGCCCTTGATATTTTTACCAGATTGTATAATTTTTATGAGGTTATTATAGCTAGTGCTGGTTTTTGGTCAATGGTACAAAAAGAATAAGTTGTTCCATACCGAAAAACTGACTTTGTTCAATGTTTGTTGAAGCACATGGTTCATTGTTATAAACTTAAATAACAATTATTCTGCATAGTATTTGCTGCTGTGATGTAAGACTGAAACACTGACCCTAGATTTGGTTTTGTTCAATGTTTGTTCAAGCACCAGGTTCATTGTCATAAACTTAAATAACAATTATTCTGCATACCATTTCTAGCTGCTGTGATGCTGGGCTCCTATAATTATTTGATAAAAGTTAGGAAGTGTGACATTTTATAAATACACTTATAACTTACTCAGTAAACAAAACGAACATCTTCAGAATTGTCCACCCCTTGAACAGAAAGTATGTATCACAATGACTTGTTTCATTCAGGAACAAAGTAACAAAATTGTAGGACATCAAGACAAGCATTGTGTCAGTTACATAACTATCACTGTCTCTTAGTGGGTCAATCAACCTTACAATCAACCTTACAACATACTTTCATATCTATCATCTGAACATGGTTGTACCATTTCCAGACCCATCACATTTTCTGTTTCGTCGTCATGTGGTAGAGGACTATCGTAATCAATTCCATATGTTTCCAATTCTTGCAATAGAAAAATACAAAAAGAATCATGGTATAGGCCTTATTGATAAATCTGCTCTGTGACATAGTTTGCAGATGAAGGAAAACCCAGCACGACCATTTGCTAAATCCGATTGGCCAAATGGCTGTATTTGTCAGCAAATTATGCCAAAGACAGACTTATTAAAAAGGAATAGACCTGTATGAAACAATATGTGCAACTGCATTGGTGTTCTACTTCCAGCTGTTCTTATATGATGGCAGATATACCCTGATTTCCAAGTCTCCAGGTGACGATTGATTTGTGGCATGTACACATAATGCAATGCAAAAATGTCAGTTCCATTTGAGAAACAATCACCTTACTCTAAATGCCGAAAAAGTGTAGTAAATATACAACACCCCCTCGAACACATCCTGCCAAAGGTGCTCGATTCTCTGATTGTGAACGATTTTGTCCACAATCATGCTTCCTCAACCCGGGCCTTGTTGCGAGTGATTCAGCATGCACAATGAAACAAGAACATTTTCGCCTCCTTTGTACGACCATACCCTGGAAGGTAAAATGTCCCTGCTGTATTCGAAACAGTTCCAAAACTGTACCTGATCGATTATTACAGGGTTATTACCCCAGGGACAAGGAATAGGATCATTGGTTAAGTATTTAGATTTTGGGCTGTTGAGTGGAAATTACAGTCAATTTCAGCTGACTTTTCACCGTAAGATTCCGAAGTTCATTCGGAACTTCCAAAGTACATTCCTTATTTGGGAAGTTGGGCGTGAACTTCGAAACGAACTTCTGAATGAATTTCGTAAATATGATTTACAAAATAAGCGTGTGCATGGTGTATGTAACTATCTAAAATGGACGAGATGTTGGATTGGATGCTCACCATTCAAAGGGAAGTTGGATGATACAACCAGTGCGAAAGTGTTTCAAACATTAAAAGCCAACGGCTTTAACACAACACTACAATTAAAGTTGTTAACAAGGGAACAGATTGATGTTATGTTTCAAACGGATATATCTTTGGGCACCAAAAGTTTACTTCTTTATAAATTTGGAGTTCTTTGCGAGAATTCCCCTTTACAACCGATCGGAAACATGAGGAAAAAGATTCAAAAGAACGAAGAGGAATCATCTCAGCCTCAAGCTCGTAAAGTAAGTAATTAAGTTGACTATTTGAAATTTACTGTAAAAACCCCCAGCAAGGTTTCATGCAGTAGTTACACATGAACAAATTATACAAATATAATGCAAGCAGGGTTTCTATAAACCTTTCCTATGTATACTTTTACAGAATGTCTTATCGGCATTACAAACACAGGCTGATGTCCTGAAAGATAAAATAGAAAACCAACGCGCTGAATGCAGAGAGCTTCAAATAAATATAGATTCAATGGACATTGTTGTGCGACCACTGGAAGCCGTAAGTCGTTTGTGGCCATTGTCACCACAAAGGACACAGAAACCAAGGCACAAATCCTTGTCGTCTGACGAAATGTACGGATTATACGTACTGTGGGGTAAAAGAGAAACACCCTGAATATTTCCAGAAACTTAATGCCATGAAAATGGAACTAAGTAAACGAAAGGCAGCGATAAACGACCTTGATACCCAAGTAGCGTGAATGGAAAATTTTTCAACCAAGAGTGAGTGTCACTTTATGAAAAGTCTAACTCCGCATATGTTTGAGATGGACAGCTCCTATAAAATTAACAAGGCAAAACTTTTGAGAGATGTAAGAATTCTCAGAACTGCATTGGATGGTAAAATTCACGATGTTACGGCTAATGACGCTGAACAACTAAGAATTCTGCTAAAAAAATGCAAAAGAGATATGAATGGTGAAGTAAATGCCCCATTTTCAAGCGATGAGGAGATGGAAAGCAATTTTGACAATTTATACACCAATAACAACGCCCAACTATCTTTATTTTGTTTTACCAAAGCCGGTATCTCAAATATCCAATTATCCACTCCGCAACAGTGATGATATATGCAATTTTTTATGTTCTTCATCTAGATTTCAACAGTCGTTCTTTCCATCAGCTATATCTGCTTGGAATTCCTTATCTGATTCAATTAGAAATTTGCCGTCTGTTACTAATTTTAAAACTTCAATTAAGAGTCTATTTTGTAAAAAAAAATGTCCGAAGATTTTCGAAGTTGGTGCTAGGTATCCTTCAGTTTTACACACGAGACTTCGGTTAGGTAATAGTACTTTAAATGATGACCTTTTCCGTCATAATTGTATACCGTCTCCTACATGTGCGTGCGGATACCATCGTGAAACTACTGAACATTATTTGTTGCATTGCCCGCTTTGGGATACTTACCGTTCGATTTTACTTACTACAGCTGCAGAATGTCTTGGGAATTATTGGTTCAATTCTAATAGAACTGGGAAACTTTCTTTTTTGCTTTCTGGATGTAATAACGTTGCTTTTAATGTAAACCATAGATTGTTTTTTGCTGTACAAAGATTTATTATTGATACATCTCGTTTCTCAGCTCGTAAATAAGGTAAAAAAATATTATTGTCAGTACCTGTTTAACTGTAACAAGCTGTCTGAGGTACTAGAAAATTCTCGATGTTTGTGTTTCTGAGGGCTTGTTGCAGTAGGTAATTAACGTGTTTCAAAGCGATGATCTGATTGTGATACATTCAAAACGCTATAATTATTGATGTTGTGTGATTGTGTGATATTTGTGTGTTGCATGCTTGAACTTTTTGATATGTAAATCTTTATTTTTGTGCAAGAGCCCCCTAGATGAGCCAACGTGTGCTCCTGGGGCAATTGCGCCAAATAAATATGTTTAAACTAACAACGCCCAACCTGAAAAAATCTCCAACAAGACCTCCAGTTTATGTGTAAAAGATCGAAAACGGAAAAAATACAGCAAGAAAAGCAAAAACAAGCCTAAAAGACGAAGAATATCATCATCTGCTAGTAGCAACATGGATGGGCGGGCATCACAATGTCAAATCGAATAGCCTGTTTGCGAGGAATTATATTGGTGGTCAAAATAATACAGGAGATCAGCTACACACACAATATATGCAGATTGGCTCTACGTACCCTGCACCTATGTTTGACCCAAATATGCAAGCAATTCCCCCTCGTTCGTTCTACCCGTACGGTTATGCATTGCAATCTAATCAACATACATATATGCCGGCTTTTCCAAATACATTGTCAATGCCTTGTTCCGAAACAATTACAAACCCGATGCCAACAGAGCTCTGCATCAATGATTTTGAAACACAGCGAAGTCACATGCAACTGAAAATAATACCGTCCAAAAACAAGGTCAAGCAACAAGGGATTGGGACTGGGCAAATTTGAAGCTCTTGTGAATGTGGCTTCGGATGAAATTGTTGAAAAGCAACAATATTAAAGTTGTGTGACTTTAATAATGTAATATACATTGCGATTTTGTTCATCTAGAGTACTTCTAGACTATATTTAGAACTAGTGCAGTTGTGTTTTTTCACTGTCCAAGAGGCCTATATAGTACTTAATATTACTGTACAAGAGGCCTAATTATAGTACTTTATTAAGTTTATAGCATTCTTATAGTGGCATATAAAGCAATGGCCAAGGGCCAACGCTGTATTTCTGTATACAGCAAATATTCAAGTATGTTACAGGTTAAGACAAATTAAAATTACGCTAACTAGCTTGTTTTGATATAAAGACAAAAGTCAACAATATCAGATCAAAAGAGTCTAGTGTACATTAGTATCTCAAAAAGCCATTCGAGGTTGGTTCAAGGCCAAGGGAGTTTATTTTGTGCATGCAACTTGAAATGATCAGAGCATAATTGCATTGTGTGCCAAACCCGCTTGCACTATAAATACATATGATGTCTGTTAAATAGTGATTGTATATTAACTTTGTTGTGACCAATTTTTTGCGATATATATATTGCAGGGAACACAGTATACACACATCTGAAGGTTGAACTACAGTGTGTACCAAAATAATTCGAATCCAAATTTGACAGACTGCTGTTTATAAAATACTAAAGTAAACAATATAATTTGTATATGGCAATAAAGAATAGCCTATTAGGTTTGCGATTATATCGTTCTTATATCAATAAGACCAAAAATGAGCAAGTAATCGTCTGTTAAAAGTGGTTGCTCTCGAAATCAAATGTTTCCGCCGATGGGAATTCAAAGTGAGACGTACAGACAAAAGATAATGCAAATTTAATTAAGAGCAGATTTTTTACAAACTCTTGTATTTGGTGCTCAAAACCAATCAGATTGCCAGAATGCTGAGAAGGCAATAGAACAATGCTGGCAATATGGCGGCAGCGTTTCGTGTCGAGGAGTGTGTCATTTGAAAATGATGCAGTTTTTAACGCAAATGACAACTGGATGGGGAGATTTTTGACAGATAATTTGTCAACTTAATCTTCAAGATGTAAGGAGATGGATTTAACAAGATGAATTAACAATAAACAAAGAATTACAAGCGTTGCAATATTTAGTGGCATATTTTGTTTTGACTGGACTGTCATGGAACCTTGGAAGGTATGGTTGAATTTATACTAATTTTCTAGCCAATAACCTGCTTCTGATCAGACTAGAAAGTATTAAAAACAAACCTGACATACTCAACTTACAGCAATTCATATATTAACAGAACTAGTGTGTTTGTCCAACATTAATTTCGCATATTTTTACAAACGATTTCAAAATTTACTGATTTATTTGGAAAGGTGATTAAATGCAGCATGTTTGGCTATAACTTTAAAACTAAATGGAAATATTGAACTCATATAGATCATATATCATGTTGACACGACAACACGCTTTGAAAAGCAGTAGACAAATAGAATCTAAATCTACCCTAAATAATCCAGCTAACGAGACCGCGAAAATGAAAAGTGCAAAATCAAAGAGTACACCAAGCAAATCACCAGGAAAAAGCGAAGAAAAACGATTAGATCATGAAAAATTGGACGAAATCTACGAGATGATCAGAACTGTCATGGCGAAACTAGATAAGATCAAAAACCTAGATGAGATCAAAAACCGAATCGTTTGCGTTGAACAAGATTTCAAGCAGATGAAATCTTCATTAGAGTTTGTGCATGCAGAAGTTGAAGATTTAAAAGAGCAAGTTGAAAATGCTAAGAATTCGGAAGAGGAAAATCGAAATAGAATTGTCGAATTAGAGGAAGCAAATCGACGCCTACACGAGAGTGTCATCGATCTGAAAGCTCGATCAATGCGCGATAACCTGCTATTCTTTAATGTCGAAGAAGAGGAAAAGGAAAATACCGATGAGAAAATTTTTCAGATTCTCGAGGAGAAATTAGAGATTCCCGATGCCAGGAATAAGATAAAAATCGACAGAACACACCGAGTCGGAAGGAAACGCAACGCGCAACGTAAACCGAAAGCAATAGTCGTTAAATTCAATTACTTTCGAGATCGTGAATTTATCCGCCAAAACGCCAGGAAACTCCGAGGAACTCGCATTGGAATAGCTGAGCAATTTGCAGAGGAAATCGAGGACATCAGACAAACTTTGTATCCGGGGATGAAGAAGGCCAAAGCAGCAAAACAGAGAGTACGTATGGTCCGAGACAAATTATTTATTAACGGTGTTGAGTTCAAACCTCAAGCGCATCAACATTTTCAATACTATAACTCTTTCGAACTTATTTTATACTACTAATATACACAAGATATGGCAAATCTAACACTAGGTAAGAAAGTTTGTTTTGCCTGTTCTACTATAATAGGTAAAAATAAAAAAGTATAAATTGTCTGACATGCGGGGGATGGTTTCATGCGCGCACCGCGTGTATGAAATTAACTCTCGGATGTCAACAAACGGAAATTGATATATGCGACACATGTTTAAGTAATTCGCTTCCTTTTCATTCAATAGATGATTTAGAATTTTATTTTATTTTCGGTAATTTTAATCGGATTCCGAGCAAAGAGGATACGGATAGACTAACGCAACTAAAATTTAATCCTTTTAACACTAACACTGACATTTTAAATCTTCAAAACAATGAAAAAATTTTAACGGAAAACTCAGAATACGTAACCTGCAATTATCATCTACCGAACGACTTTCCCACAATTAATGATGAAAACAAAAATTTAACTATAATAAAGCTTAACATTAGAAGTATAGCTAACAAGTTTGACGCATTTAAACATCTATTAAATACTTTGAAGCAACCTTTTTCTATAATTAGTTTAACTGAAACTTGGCTTAATGAACAAAACAGTGAAAATTTCGGCCTAAGCAACTATAATTTTGTTTGTTCAAACCGAGTAAGTAAAAGAGGAGGAGGTTTAGGTATTTATGTCTCAAATGATCTACACTACAAACTACGTCCTGACCTAAATATAAACGAGGATGGAATAATTGAAACGCTATTCATTGAAATAATTTCAACCACTGGAAAAAATATTATCCTTGGTAATATCTATAGACCACCAAGTGGTAATTTTGAAATGTTTGAAAATAAACTGAACGAAATACTCTCAGAAGTTGACAAAACAAAAAAGATAACATATTTGATGGGAGATTTTAACATCGATCACCTGAAAACCGATAATTGTGACTATTCAAATAGATTCTGTGAGCAACTTTTTACCTCATCTTTTTTTCCACTTATTAATAGACCAACTAGAATCACCCAGCACACTGCAACCTTAATTGATAATATTTTTACCAATGACCTTGAACAGATAGAAGCTGGCATAAATGGTTTAATTTTCTCTGACATTTCAGATCATCTTCCAATTTTTCATATATCATCCTTATCAACAAATAAAAATAAATCGAAAACGGTAAAAACACGATACAAAAGAACTATCAACAACGACAGTCTCGCTTCATTTTTAGTATCTGTCAAAAATATATCATGGTCACGCACGTTTCAAACAAATGATCCTTGTGAATCCTATGACATTTTTCATAATAATTTAAAAGCAGCAATTGATAAGAATTTTCCTTTTGTAAAAATGAAAAACAAATCTTTTGATCATGAAAAAAGTCCGTGGATGACAGTTGGTGTTTTTAGGTCCATATATAAACTTTTTATAAATATAATAAAACTATATATAAAACGGCTATATAAAACTTTTTTTAAAAAACCATCTCATAGAAATGAAACAGTGTACAAAAAATACAAAAACAAACTGAATCATGTTATTAAAACTGCGAAAAAAAATTATTATGAAAACGAATTTTTGAAGTACAAAAACGATATGAAAATGACATGGCAAACTATTAACAAAGTTCTAAATAGAAATAAAACTAGAGAAAAACGTCCGGACAATTTTTTACAGAAAAATTCAAATAGGAA